TGAAATATGGCTTTAATGGGTTCACCACAAGAAGAAAAAGCAAAAATACTAACAAACTATTGATGTGTTTATTAGTGACAATATATTGAATACAATATTATGAAACAAAAGACATTTGTTTAACATATGTATATAAATAATACACTGTAATAAAGTCTATGGACCCATTAGCCGGGTCTTCTGTCCTTCAACTCGCAAAATATAGTTATTATTATATTATTAACATATAATTTATTTTAATTTTGCAATAATTATTTATGAAAACATATGGGTTATTGATATCGTTGCTTAAATTAACTTTAAAATAACTTTTTCAATTTTGTTGTTAATATAATCATGTAATTTTCCAATATATAAATAATTATATTTAATAATACTTAATATACTTATTATTATTGTAAATGTTTTAACAGTTAAGTCTCTCTTGAAGTTTTTGTTGCGGTAATAACTAAATAACTTTTACCATTCAAATACTTTAACTAAATGATAATATTTGCATAGATAGGGATGGGCTGACAGTTATTTACTGGCCATTGCTAACAAACACATCATTATTACTTAATATAGTGTACATACATATAGTGTACACAATATTCAACAATTCATTAACAGGATTAACGCGAAAAAGTGTATTCAAAAAGAGGTACTCGGCTTTCAATGTGCGGCACAATTGTATAAATAATAATAAATGCATTTTCTGTGTAAACATCGTTAAGAATGCATTGAATTTCACAATAGATTCTTATGTGTTGGCAATGTATTGACTAAATAACAGTATATTTTATTGAATATAAAAATTCAATCATATGTTTAAGAGTAAAAGTGGTGATGAACTTACGTGAAGACACCCTTAGCTAACGGTTCCCGGATCTCAGTAATGAAGTACCGATTGTTGCCATTTGTGGTGATGTTTTGACGAATACAATCGGATTCAGATCCGTCCCGATATATCACAAACCATTCGCCCAAAAACTATATACAAATGAAATAATATATAAAAATAAAACAAAATCTCTCTCTCTCTCTCTCTCTCTCTCTCTCTCTCTGCGATCACAATTTGCTAAAACGAAACAAAAATAAGTATACATTATATGTATATTATTTTTCGACTCCTTTTTTACTGTCTATATATTGATTAGAAATTATTTTGTTATTATTCAAAAAATTTTATATATTTTTAGCATTTATTTAACGATTAACTTATTCTGTGCCTAAAATTGGTTTAACAAATAAAAGCATAATATAAAATGTATTTAGTTTTAAGTTATATTAAACTAAATAATTAAAAATATATGCATTTTTATCTCGTGTATCACAACAAAAATACCATCATGTTTGGTGACCTTAACTACAGAATATACCATATATTATACACAATAATCCATAAACAGAGGTATAAATAAATATTTATGAGCAGTTAATTATAATAAAAGGTTTTTATTATTTTCACTGCTTATGCATATTGTTTGGGTGAATAGTTTATGCAAACGAAAATAAAACACGAGTTAATTATACCATATTATGGCCAAAACTAATGCTTTTATATTGATATACAATGTATATCCTCTCTTACGATATGATGTTTATTATGATAACAATTAAATTATGTTTTGATTTATATTCGAGAATTGCTATCATTTGTTATTCAAAACAATCGCACAGAATATTCTCTCTCTCTCTCTCACTCTCTCTCTCTCTCTCTCTCTCTCTCGCATATATTTTCTGTCAACTTATTAATAGTAATTTTTCTAAATTAATGATTTAAGTAATGGTTATCAAAATACATCTGCTCTCTCTCTCTCTCTCCCTCTCCGAATATCAATGTATTTGTTTGTGGCTTAAAATTCACGGCGCGATTGCATTCACAGTAATATTGCTCAACATTTTTAGTTAATATAATATTACATTTACTGTATTTAATATACATTTGCTATTTTATTATTACATTTGTTGGGAATATTTTTATGATTTTTATACAGAATATTAAAATAGTTATGCTTTTAGTTTTTGTTTAAGTACTAAGTGCATTTAATTAATAATTAGGATATTATTAAAATAATTTACTGCTATTTTTTGTTTCAAATTATTTAATCAATAGATTTCTATACAATATTTAAAGCAGATTTTGCTAATTATTATTGAAATAGGTTTAAAACATTAAATTCCAGTTATATGTAAATGCAGTATAAGTTATACATTGTATTTGGATTTTATTACATATTTCATGGTTTGATATAAAAATATTGATTTTATTTGATATAAGTTTTTAATTTAATGACTCGGATGTGCCTTAACTTAAAGGTTATTTTATAGTTTAATATCATTTTTACTCTCTCTCTCTCTCTCTCTCTCTCTCTCTGTCAAAGAAATTTACATAAATGTTTTTGAAAGAAGTTCAAAATTATTAACTCTATCTCTATTATATATTAATTATATAGTAATCTATGTTTTATAAAGGTAAATCTTATTTACTCTCACATAATATACCCTATTATAAAACATAATTGATATATAAGGTAAAGGGCGACAAGAGTTAGCCCACAAAACAGCACAGTGTCTAATAAATTTGAATAGAGGTTTAGGAGAGGGTATAAAAAACAATCTGTGAGTGAAATTAATATTATAAGCCAACAAAACAATACAACAATTAGATCGCTGGGGAATTAGTCAATGAAATACAACACAACAAAAACCAACGGTGTATTTAGTTGTTGATTGTGTTAACAATTTATAAGTTTTTTTTCGTTAAGATTAAATCAAGTGAATGGAGAGAAATTAGGTTTTTTCTGATCTTAATTTATATAATAAGGTTTTCTATACAATAAAGAGTAGGATTTAAATGCCGTATTAAATATGACAAACAATTTTTTCATTTCTGTACACTATATATGCAGTTCATTATAATATAATGTATGCGTTATATCGTAGATACTAAACAATGTAAATAATTATGTAAACATTGAAATATTTATATTAATATGTAATGACATGTTTTGTGAATGAATTGTGTATTTCATGTGTGTATTTATAACGAACAAAACTTTATAAAGAAAACATTAAATAATCAAAATTATGTTTGTTTTTATAAATAAATACTTGAATAAATAACGGTCTTTATGACCCTTAAATTACAAACTTAAAGATATATTTATAAAAAACGATTAATTTTATAAATATTTATTTAAGGTAAATATTAATATAACATAAATATATTGTAAATATATATTGATAAACTTACCTTGTTAATGTCAAAGCTAGCTTTGGGTTTAATGCGCGGACACTGACCGGCCCTCAGTTGTAACGGTGCGGACAAATGGCAAACAATAGACAGCAAAATGAATACGGATTGCAATACTTTTGGCCACATTTTTCTCGTTAACGAAATAGTGTTAAAAAACTTTTTATATAAATATATAAATTTTATTCACACTTCTATCTCAACCACAATATATTTATAGCAAAACAAAACAGTGACGGTTAACGGCAACTGTGCAAAAAACTTTTATGAAACTCGTATTTTACGCCAAACAAAAACTGATGGTAAAATTTAAAATAAATAACAAACTTATGTTCACAAAACAAATTCAAGAAGAAGAAGATAAAAATTCTTATATTGTAAGAATTATTACAGTATTATATATTATATATGAGTGAATGCAAAAAAGCTTTTGGTAAATGGTCGAGAGAACAGGTGTGGGTAGGTTTGCCTCTGGTTTGTCTGTGTGTTTGAGAGTGAGTGAGTGTTTGTGTTGTGTTTAATATAACGAGTTAGACGACGGGCTCGAGTGAGGAGAGCACAGGTATAGTCGAGTTTTTGCGATGGCATACGAGTGCTTACATCGAAATGACACAACCCTTTCGAGTGGTGGCAATATATGAATTCAAGGGAAACCAGTTATCAAACACACGTGAATCCATTATTTAACACATGGTTTACAATATATATACCTGTGATGGACGGCCTACCTGTGCTCTCCCGGTGTGTGTAACTTTATATTGTATACCTATGTGTGTGCGATATATAATAAAGCACTGGTTTTAATGTACATGTAATTAATTATATTAAAGATATGCCCGATCAAAATGATACTGTATAATGTATAATAATGTACATTAAACTTTTTTTTGTAATTAATAAGTGTATATTACTTATTAAACATCGCAAAAACCATGGTAAACATTTGCCGCAGCAACCATTATAATTTTTTCCATTGCAATTAGTCGTTATAATAGTTATTCACTCCATATAGTGAACAAGAATAGGCAGATTATTTTGCGCACAAAATAAACAAGTTAAAATTATGAGCACAATATTTAGCATCAAATTATTAAAAGTCCTTCAAAACTATGCGCACAGAAACTAAATGTGAGAAAAATAATATTATTATTATTACTATTATTTGATATTATCTCCGATAAGACCATACATACAGACAGTGTATCAAAAAAAGTTTATAATGTGTTAATAAAAGACATCTAAACGTCAATACAATAATTCGCTGCTGTTTTCTGTGATAATGTATTCACAAAAACAATACCCGAAAACACAACAAAAAAAAACTAATTATATTTTTAGTATCGCAACAGAAAACTGTGTGTTTTGTTGAAAGGGTTATTATTGAGAGAAAAATAAAGTAAATTTTTGTATGAAATAAAGAAATTAATTTTCATGACAGGTCGCCCAGGCATGTCTCCTGTGCCCACATGTACTGTACTGTACACTATACAGGCATAGTGTATACACTGTATAATATTTCATTATTTTATAGTGTATTTGCTGTAATATACAATTTATACTCTGGTAGCATAGTATTGATTTATATATTTTTTGTGCAAACATGTATTGTTTGCTAATTTTGCTGTGTTTAAATTAATAAGCAAGGTTATGCAATATTACAATTAGCGCATCGTTTGAATTGCATTTTATGAAACAAAAGATTATAAAAAATATTTAATTTAAATAATAATAACAAAAAAAGATTTGCACGAAATGTTAGATGCTTTCAGCTTTCTCTCTCTCTCCGGCACCTTAATTATAATTATATGTTTGGTATTTTACTTTTGAATTCAAAAATCAAATAGTTATGAAATTTTGTATTTAAATAATAGTTGTTTAATTAAATCACTAATTGAATGCATTAAGTCTATGCATATTAATAGTCTAATAAATAGATTTATAGAAATTCCTTTAATTAATACATTTGCTATAATACTGTAATATAAAATAATATTAATAAACAGTGAATAAAAATTATTGTTTGATATTCTTATAAATTAATATTACTTCAAGCAACTTCCATAAAATATGCTTAAAATTATATTACAATGATTTAATGTAAATAATTTAATTTTATATTATTATAAAACATCATCAAGTTTATTGTTTACACTAGATAAATGTTAATTATTATTTATATTAACTATTCACAAAATTTCGCACATGTATTAAACATTTATGTAATAAATTAGTTAATAATTCAGTAATAAAACAAAGTAAACACACAATTAATCCGACGCCTATTGTAGTGAACGAGAAAACAAAGTTTTCAAACTTCAACACTTGATAGACGTCAACACTTTTGTGGTGATAATCCAATGGCTTAATCGACTCATTATTACCAATAGTATTTAGAAGTGATTTAAATTTGGTATAAAATTTAATTTCTTGTTTTGTGAAGTATAAATAAAGTCCGAACTGATGTATAGTTTTGATCCTAATATATCGTAACAAAATTAATTTAAGAAATAATTAAAAATTACTTATAATTTTATGCAATATTTAGTAAATACAGGTATTATTTACATTTTCATCAAACGATTCTTAATATTTGGATTCATTGTTTTCCGTAATATAAAGCTATAATAATACGGATATTCATTCTTCGCGGTCACTGTTAGCTTGTATTGGTTGTAATGGTTGAACAGATTGTCGATCTCAAGTCTGGTGCTGACCAACACATACCGGTGCGATAGTACCCGAGATATAGTTTCAAAATCATACGTTTGCATGTAGTCAATTAATTTTAGTCGATATTCAGGAAAAATTCTACCTTGGTTGGAAGCATGTTTTGTGTTTCCACCCTAATTAACGATTATAGTAATAATTATAACAATTTTAATAAAAAATACATTAAATTCACATTTTTAAGTATGAAGAGGGCGTTTGAATTACGAACGACAAGAATCTGAACATTGGTTTCGTGTAATAACTGATCGATTGTCTCGATTTGATCCACTCTTTGCGATACCATAAACGAGAGGACATTGTTTTGCATGAATAACATGAGTACCAGCGATGAGACAATCCATAAAAGCATTAAATAGTTTTTTCTATACTCTTTCATTTTAATCGCTAAATTATATCAAAGTATTTTGTAATATAAATATCATATTAAGTATAACTAATATACAAACAAACCTCTGCCCAAACAAATAATAGCATAATCTATGGCCAGAAATAGTTTATATTTCCAATGAGTGATTGAATAACAATTAATGCAAATAATTGTGAGATAAGATGTAAACATTAAAATCCAAATCCATTTATCAAAATAACTGATTAATGATATGATATTTCTGTTGATAATAACTCGAGGACTGCTAAGTATAGCAACCGATGCCTCCGATGATACGATATAAGCCCAATCAACCACCGATTCCCGGCTCTGGATGTATGTAAACCTACTTAAATAAAAATCGGCCAACTATTCATCGGGGTAAAAATCTATTACATTGTTTATAATGTATTATATAATGTATACATTTCTATGCAGGAGACCAATAGCCCCGGTCCACGACCCGTTCTTCATACGACTTCCGCCCGAATTAATGGACGGAATATTTACATTAATCCTTTTACAAAGAATATAATTGCTTATTTATGATAATAAACAGTAAACATATAAATTATTAAATGATTTATTCTTTAAGAATAATAAGGTAATACCTTAATTTGAGATTATTTTCAATAATATGGTATAAATATAAAAATTTGTGACAAAACACAACAGAATTTGAGAATTTCTTCAATACCTGTCAATCATAATTGAATATAAAATTAAATTGTTGTTTATTTATCAAATATAAATTTGTTTAATATAAATGATACCTCGTTTGCGTAAATACCAATTGTCAGATCATATGTGATGTTTTGTGGATTTTTATCTAAATATAGTGGACTTTTCACACAAATTTTATGCATTATTTTAAGTGATTAATTTATTAGTTTTATCATGTAACTTTTATACGCATTTAATTATTCTAAATATAACACATGTACTTTTTAATGCAAAATATGATCAATAAATGACATTTATGTTTATTGTCTATTTGTGACATTTATGTCTATTGTCTATTTGTAACATTTATATCTGATAACCATAACATAAAAAAGTTAAATAAAAATAAAATTTCACAATTTTATAAGCAATTGAATTATTGATAGATTTTATTAATAAAAGTGCATTTGTGATCTAAACCATTATGATAATAAAGTTAATATAAGTTGTAATTAAATAATGTTAAATGTTTCTAAATAATAATTATATGTTAGGTTAAATTTGCAACCTTTAATTCCTATTAAAATACAATGTATTATACTGTACATTGTATACTACTGTACCTTTGAATTATTTGATATAAATGACATGATCATGTACATGATATCGATTCTCTCTCTCTCTCTCTCTCTCTCTCTCTCTCNTATTACGGAAAACAATGAATCCATACGTTAAGAATCGTTTGATGAAAATGTTAGTTTCATTAAAATTAATTATTAATAATTAATTATACAACTAATTAATGATTATATTATATTAGGATAAAAACTATCCATAATTATCTAATTTCAAAACTTGTTCAATTACAGTATATTAAAATGTACTGTGTCAAAAAATTGTCCACGACATTATTGAATCCAAGTATTTCTTCAATAATAAAAATTTTATTTTCAGTAGTGATTGTATTTATTTTAAAAATTGTAACTTGCTTGGAAAATGGTGTTTTATATTTGTTGTATTATTAATAATTAAAACTACATCAACACAATTTGGTTATTTTATTTAATAAACATGTTAATAGTTCTCCGATTAGGCAAAACAAACACACAATTAGTCCGACGCCTATTGTAGTGAACGAGAAAACAAAGTTTTCAAACTTCAACACTTGATAGACGTCAACACTTTTGTGGTGATAATCCAATGGCTTAAAGGCGTGTAGTCTATGGCTGGGATTTACCAGTGATTTAAATCTCTTGTAAAATATCACCTCTTGTTTGCTGAAGAATAAATAGAGACCGAATTGATGTATAGTTTTTATCCTAATATAATATAATCATTAATTAGTTGTATAATTAATTATTAATAATTAATTTTAATGAAACTAACATTTTCATCAAACGATTCTTAACGTATGGATTCATTGTTTTCCGTAATATAAAGCTATAATAATACGGGTATTCATTCCGTGCGGTCACTGACAGCTTGTATTGGTTGTAATGATTGAACAGATTGTCGATCTCATGCCTGGAGCTGACCAACACATACCGGTGCGTAAATAGCCGTTTAATAGTCCCAAAGTCATAGGTTTGCATGAAATTAATGAGTTTTAGTCGGGATTCAGGAAAATTTCGCTTCTATTTGATGGCAAAGAAATGATTAATTTAATGAAATTATAAATATATTTATTACTTACGTTTTTGAGTATAGAGTGAGCGTTTGAGTTGCCGACCACTTGAATCTGAGCACTGCTTTTTTGTAATAACTCGTCAATTGTCTCGATTTGATCCACTCTTTGCGATACCATAAACGAGAGGACATTGTTTTGCATGAATAACATGAGTACAAGCGATGAGACAATCCATAAAAGCATTAAATAGTTTTTATAATACTCTTTGAATTTAATCGCTAAATCAAAACAAAGTTACATAAATACAGTATCATATGAAATGTAATTAGTCTACAGTCAAACCTCTGCCAAATAAAATAAATGCATAATCGATGGCTAAAAATAGTCGTTGTTTCCAATGAGTGATTGAATAACAATTCATATAAATTATTGTGAGATATGATAAAAACATTAAAATCCAAATCCATTTATCAAAATAACTGATTAATG